TTTTCTCTTTTATAGATGACATAGGTGTTGATTCTGATTTCATATACAAGAAAATCAGGCAATATTCCCCCCCCAAAAAAATACAAAGAAAATTTAAAAATTTCTTCACAAGAATCATCAACAAAACAAACTCATGAGTCATAGTTGTGACTCATATCAAATAACCTAGAATTCATATAATTATTTGCTATGATTCAAGCCTCTTGTTTTCTGATTTTAATGATAATTACAATGAGTAATGAACAGTTTTAAAGTTATTTTTATTTCACTATTAAATTAAAACTTTTCAGCATTAACCAAATAGGTGCTAATTTTTTTTAACGTCTCCATTTAATCTACTGTAAATAAGGTAAGAAAAAAAAGCTTAGCTGTTAAAACTATAACTAACAGATAATAACCTTAAAATTCTTATGTGGTGTTCGTGCTTCCTTCACCTCTCTCCCAATCCCTCTGATTTTGAGCCACCCACACATATACATGAAGCCCTTGACACTGCAAGTCTTCCTGCATCTGAATGCTACAAAGGCTTTAGTTAATTAGAAGTTTATTTTAACTTTTTGTTTGCTTTAAAGAATTAAACCTTTTGTTTTTTCTCTCCTGACCTTCAAATTTTTATCTCCAAAGTATACTTGAGTAGGAAATAATCTGGCAAAATCCACAATCATGATCCTCTAATCACTTCTAATTAACTTCCAACAAACCAAGAAGGCTCCGTATACCCAAGCTCTAATTAGGTTAGCCTTGCTTACTATGTGTGGAAATATGCAAAAATTGCCCCTATATATCACTTAAGAAAAAAATTGCTGGAATATGTACGCACATCTGTACATATGTGTACATCCAGCATTTAAAAACATTTTATAGGTAGAAATCATACCTTCAAATAAGCTAGCAATTAGAGTAAATGCAGTTATGTCACTAACAGAAGAAACTAATTTTCAAACTAAATCTGCCAGCTGTGTCAGGAAATCAGCGCTGCATGGAAGACCAATGAGAAGTATAAAGTAAAGATGAACCCATGCCTGTGAAGATCACTTCATAACGCACATATTATGAATGGCGTTACTAGTATAGACTATGAGGCCACAATCATCTTCTTTAATTATAGTCTGTCTCTGTGTATGCATGTGTGTATGTGTATATGTGTATGTGTGTATGCGTGTGTCTTTGTGTATGCGTATATTCATATAAACATGCCAGGACATACAAATGGAGCTCAGAGGATGACTTGCAAGAGTTAGTTCTCCTTCTGCTGTGGCAGTTTCTCTGTGTGGAACTCAATTGTCACCTGATGCAGCAAGCACCTTTATCCAACATTAATACTGCAATTTCAATACATTTTAAAACATCTTTCAGCATGCATTTTCTTTCAACAACACACTCCTTACAGCTAAATCAGAACACATATTCTGGCTAACATATAAAATAGAATCAATTTTCAATTTTTATCAAATAATTAAGAGAACGAACTAATTATACAATAGAAAAAAACAGTCACAGTTTTCAGTAAAAGATCTTATCTGATCAAGAAGTGTCATGAAAGAGTGAGGAAGAGTGGCCCCACCACTAGTGAACTGTGAAGCAGCATGGGTGTGGGAGTGCTTCACCCTCCCTCTCATTCTTTGTTACCTGCAGCAGTCAGGGAAGTTGACACTGGGGTCATGAGAGCAGGCAAGCTGCCCATGTCTCTTGTTGGCTGTTGGATTAGGGAGAGCAGGCCCTGCACCTTGCTTGGGCAGCATAATAGAACTTGCCCAGGTAAGCCAGCCAGAGGGTAAAGATGCAGGAGAGCTGGCCTCACCACAGGGGTGATGCCCTCCCTGCTCACCACCTGTGATAATCAGGAGAGCTGGCCCTGAGAACATGAGAGCTAGAGAGGTAGCCCTGTCCCCTCACTTGAGATAGCACTCAGGAAAAACAGGGCTTTGTACTTCGCCAGGGCAACATAGTGGAGCTGGCCTTGATAGTGAAGGTATAGGTTAGCCATCTCCAAGGATGTAAGTCAGACAGCTGGTCCAGTCCCTTGCAGGCTACAGCACATAGGGGAGTGGGCCCTGAGCCTCAACAAGGCAGCTCAGTGGAGCTGTCCTGGGAGGCATGGGTATAGATATGAGAGCAGGAGAGAGCAGGAGAACAGGAGAGTTGATCCTGACACAAAGCTGCGAGATCTTCACGACACAGGGAAACAACAGGATAACTAGGAGGAAGCCCATGAGGATTCAATATTTATGGTATCACAAAAGCCCGAGATCTTGAACCAGACCAATGATTCATTGCATGAACATTTGCAAGTGAACAAATATGGACAGAGGAATATAGTGTGGGACACACTGTGACATACTACATCTTCCATGATGAGTTTTTTCTAAGCTTTTTGTTGTTTGTTTGTTTGTTTATAGGTTTTCTTATTGGGGAAGAGACTCCAAGAGTGAAGAGTTGCTAAGAGGGGATGAGGAAATGAACATGACTGAGGTACATGATGTGAAACTCACAGAGAATCAATAAATACTTTTAAAATGTTTAAATAATCAGACAATAGAGGTGCCATGGATACTAAAACACAGAACTCAATAGGCAGGTATCATACTACTTCAACCTCTTTTTGAAGGTCTTATGTCTATTTGTAATTTTTTTCCAAAGTCTCCTTGGGTTTTTAGGCATTTTGTTGATTTGCCAGCTTATTTACTATAAGTGGTATTAATATATGTGTATATATTATACACTCACTCACATATATTATACACATATATATACATACACATATGCATACACATATACATATATAACATATACATGTACATATACATATGAAAACCAAGAAGCTAATGTCAAAATGCTTCTTTTCCTCTGTAAGTATATTACAGGAAAAAATTCATAAAGCAGATTTTATTAGAGAGGTTCCTGTAATAAAAGCAGATCATAATGAGTAAAGTATCACCCTCCAATGGAGTTCCACTGAAACCACAGCCTGAGTTTTAAGGTAGCGCAGAATACAGAGTTGAGTAGGGTTAGCATACTCTTGAGCAATACACTTGAGAGTCTAAGATAGTGTACACTTTTAGCAAAGGCAACTAGTTAACTTTCTTCCAGTATTAGAAAGAATTTTTAGAGTTTAATAAGAACAGAATTGGAGGTTCATGTTTATGCAAGAAAATATATTTCAAACATTGGAAAGACAGAGCATTACTGTGCTTGTAGTTTGAGGTAAAATGCACAAGAAGAAACAGGATTATAAATGTATCTCTCCTAATCAAAATGACTCTCCCTTTGCTCTTCCCAAACTCTGGTCACCGAACATGAATCCACTCTACTGAATATCATCCTCATAGCACAGCAGAAATAATGCCAAAAAATTCATAATCCTGAAGGCTCAGCTCCTAGGTAGGAGAGAGTTCCTCTGCTCTTTCTTGAGCTGTATGGGTGTAAACCAAAGCTTCCCTTCACACATTCACTGAGATCACCTCCATATGAACAGGAAATGTTTTCAACAGTCTGAGGAGGCTCACCTGTTGACCATCTCCTGTCTTTTAGGCAGTATGCCTGGATTGCTCAGGAATACAAAAAAATGGGAAGAAGCTGATGTATTCATTGCTCCTGCTAGAAAATGAGGTTTCTGCTGATATAAACTAGCAAATAGTCCTCGTATTCAGAAGTGATGCAACTGAGCAGAGTACGTGCCTTGAAACAGACCACAGGCTGCATTTGGTTTTCATTCAAGGAGGGGGCTTGTGATATGCCCAAACCAGACATTATCAGACAGCTCTGTGAGTGCTACTAAGGTCCTTATGTGCTTTCAGTCAGGTTCATCAGAGTACTTATCTTTCTGATCAATAAGTATTTTCTATCTTATCCCTAATTACTAATTTGGCAGGGTTTGGGGAGACTCATTTTCAACACATCTATACATTTCTTGGCTGAGAATAGGAATACATTTGATGATAGTATTGTTGCAGAGTAACAGTAATGGAGACTACCACATGGACACAGTGAAAGCTGAAAAGAACACCTTCATTGCTGGCTAGTGGCTATGTGGAGAACTTGCCCAGTTCATACAGCCTTGAGCATCGCAGCTTTTTATCTTCTATGCACACACAAAAAACCATATCCTGGTTGGCACACTTCAGTTAACAAGAAGCAGGACTACAGATACAAGAAATGCAAGGTTAGTAGATTTTGAGACTTTTTATTTGGGGACTATTCTGGAACAAGGGGCTAGGTCTTTGACTCCATTTAGGCAGGTGTTAAGGTCAGAATGGTCCTTTCTATTTTTTCGATTAACAAAAAATATTTTATTAAAACATAAGATTTAACAGAAGTTTCCAGACAAGCCATACAAATGGTCACAAGCTTTTTCTTCATCTTTTTGGGGTGGGTGGGGGTGGGGGACAGAGAATCTATACCTGAAAGCAGTTACGATGTTATTAGTGAGGGCTGTGATGATTATTTAATGTTCCTATTTTGGTTCAAACAATCAAGCTTGTCCATCTACAACATCTAAAGTTAGACTTGGCTAAAGAGCGTTTTCTGAGGAACTGGTTAGCTGCATTTAACCACTACAATTAGATCCTATAAGAGGGAGCAAAGGAAAGGAGGCCATAAAATTAAAATAAAACTACTTTCCCCCTAACAAAATAAAATAAAAACACTCAAACCCCCTGGCAGATAACCCTGACAACTACCTTCATTCACAATGCCTTGTACTTAACCATGATGGGGAAGGAGTCAAAGCAGAGAGACCTGCTTCTCAACATCTCTCAGCAACCCGGAGGATACTTCTAGCCTCTGCTCGTGCTTTACGACAGTGAATCAGGACAAGACAGATTTGCTAATACGCATGTAATCATCAAAGAGAAAGATGTCTGGGCTTTTATTCGGTAATGTTTCTAAGACTGTGCCCATTAAATGCAAACAAAAAAAAAAGGTAGAAGTCTTGGCAGAACAGGAGAAGTGATTTACACTTGACAATCTGATCGACTTAAATATTGTTCATGGCATATAGCTTAGTCCATGCTCTCACTGTATCTATAGCTTGGGCTTCCTTGGGCTTCCTCTGCATTTGCTAATAGATCATCTGGTTTAGGAACACTTAACAAAGCCTGGATTGATAGCAGAACTGTGTAGATCTGCAGTGCTGGGGACCACTTATCTTTCAAAATATCTAAACATATTCTTCCCAACTTGTCTACATTAGGATGATAAATTTTGGTCATGAAAGATACTTTAGGTGCTGCCATTGGGTATTCTTCTGGAAGGTATAGTTCATGTTTAAAAGTCCCTCCATCAGAGGGAGAATCCTGGAAGCCAGCAATGACGACACGAAAATAACGGGCATTGCTGTCATCTGGTTCTGTTTTAATGCCAGAAACTGGTTCTGCCAGCAAATGCTGGGTTCCCTTGATGATCCTGCAGGGCAGCCCGGCCATCTTACCAGATCCCGAGTTCGGCCTCCCCTCTTATCTCAGAATGGTGCTCTAACATGACCAAAGACGTGCAACGGTCTTAGGTCTTAGAACACTGTGAATGTCTCCAGTCCCTTGTTGAGAAATCGAAAGGCTTTCAAGATGTACAATAAAGTCTCTAGAGTCCTCTTATGGCCACCATGGGAAGTGTTTCCCAATGATGAGAATTGTCATATTCGTCCATGAAGGAGGTTTCTCCTCCATCATGCTGTGTGGGTTGCACAAACAAATGAGGAAAAACTTTTGCTTTCAGGATTGAAATTCTCTCTTCCTTTTATCATCACCACTAGCATGTCTGGGGAAGCACTAGAAAGGCAAATTTTATCGTCTTCCCCAAGGGACCTACAATATCAGCAATGCTGAGCGTGGGAGTTAGCAAAATGGGCTTTTTCATTTCTAGGAGAATTCCAACTTGAGTACTGCTACCTTGGCATGAAGAAGCACATTATGTATACAAGATGCTTTGTCCTGACCATTTGAATTCACACAAAAGTATGAATTCCCTTAGGGGAAAGCTGTACAGGACAACTTTCAGCAAGTACAAGGCATGTAATTAATTTAGAGGTTAGCAATTTTTCTTAAAATACTGTGTTGATTTATTCTACTCAGGATCATTATATAGATGATAGGAACATAAATATTTAACATACACTTTTAATACTCTCACATGTTTTTTGTCATTTACAAAGAATATTGCCACCTTTTTTGAAAACTCATTATACTTATATTCTAATACTTTATTTTAAGCTCCAAAAAAATAATATTATTGAAATTGAGTTTACAGATGCCTATATGTCCTCTGATTTTATAAGAGGAAAATTTTTTTGTACTGCCTCTGCCATGGCTGGGGATTGGTGAAGTTAAAATACCTTCCATCTTTCAATTTATTCTGTTCCATATCGGGCGATGGTATCTGAAATGGAGACATCATAGCATACATAGGACGTGGAGTGGCTGAAATTTGCTGGTCAAATTGCTATAGTACAAGGGTGCCGTTCAGATCCCACGTTTATTTTGGAAAAAATTGTTCTATCTCATTTATTTTGAAGTATTATTCTGCCCACCTCCACTTCTGCTGATTCTTCACACCCAAAGCTGGTATTTATTGTAAGAACTTCAAAAGAATAATATAACGCCCCACACTTATCTCATTACAATATACATTTAACCAATTCTCATACTATTTAAATCTGATGTCTGTAATTCATTTTAGATTACTGTAATTCTTTCTAATGAGGTTTAAAACACTGAACCCACATTTTGTTCTTTATCTGTATAGTATATACAATCATAAAGTAGGAGAAATATTATGTAGAGATATGTGCATGAACAGAAGTGAAATACACACCACATGTTCTGTAGTTCATTAGGAAAAGCTAGAAACATAAGGCTGGTTAAGAAAGGATATAAACATTGGAATAAAATAAGTCAAACATAATTGTCATTTTAGTGACTCGACTGGACAAACTGCCTTTGATATCTTTTTTTTTTTTTTTTTAGAAATAAAAATAAATAATGTATTCCTCAGCTAAGGCATCTTACCATTTCCCACCTGTTTAAACAGGTTACTGGCTTGTGCTTAGTGTTCAAAAACTGACATACAACATAACAGAAAAGTTCTCTTTTTTTTTCTTTCTTTCTTTCTCTTTTTTGTTTTTTTGTTGTTGTTTTGTTTTTGTTTTTTTTGTTTTTGTTTTTTTGTTTTGTTTTGGTGTTGGTTTTGGTTTTGGTTTTGTTTTCAAGACAGGGTTTCTCTGTGTAGTCCTAGCTGTCCTGGAGCTCACTCTGTAGACCAGGCTGGCCTTGAACTCAGAAATCCACCTGCCTCTGCCTCCCAAGTGCTAGGAATAAAGGCGTGTGCCACCACTACCCGGCCAGAAAATTTCTTTTTGCTTTCATATACTTCTTTAATAAAACAGATTCAGGCTGGCCCACTTCCACTAAATATCTACTCTTCTCTGTCTTTTTTTCTGCCTTATGTAAGAGAAAGGGGTCATCTGCTTCTTCAACAGCAATTGATATTATTGATTTGATATTATTCCTATTAACTATTAACGTTAGATTATTACATGGAAATCACTTTAAAATGAAGCATAATGTTTACTTGATGGGTTATTATTTCATCAATGGTATTACTGTTTACTGTGTATCTTCTGTCAGAGAAAGCTGGGAAAGTGTGCTTATATAAAATGAATTTTACACTGATGCTTAAAAGAATCTAGTTTCATTTCCCATGGATTTTAAGAGTAACAAATGACTACACATATTGCATGTTTGTTCATACAGACCTACAAGGTGATTATCAGTTGTGTTCAAATAGAAATTTCAGTGTATTATGTGTCCTGATTAACAACTGCCTAGTTGTTCCGTGTTAGAGGTGTGAAACATGAACTTTATTTATGTTCATCAAGTGGGTGTTCCTGGGCCCCTCAGAGACTAAGAGGCACCATTAAAAAATATGTAAATTATCTAAACTTACCATTTTACATAAATTAAAAACACTCTAATATGTCCACTTTTATTTATACATATCTATGTTATATACACAAGTTTGATATAACAGAATTTATAAGACTTTGTGCATCTTATTTTTATTTTCTTTGATTAGTAGTTTAATTTTGTTTTTACTGTATATCAAGAAACCTGTGCCTATGGAGGAATTACTCATTTCCTTGTTCCGTATTGCTGGTTCTTTCTAGACAAGTGTTTTTTAAAGATTCATATAACAGTTCATTGAAAAAAACAAGTCATATTAGCTACACATCTGCCACTTGACTGAAAAGCCATTAAAACAGTTCAGCATTTTTATGTGGCAAAACAGACAGATGGGAAGTTAATCACAGTTCTGCATAAATTGAATATGAAATAATGTGATGATTTATTTAAGGTAAATCTATGAAAGGAGATGCACCAAGAAAGTCAGACAACCCTGGAGCCTGGACGTGGGCTTATCCAAAAGAGTCACATTTCATCATTGTCCCAGTCAGTTTCTGATAATTTGACATAAATCTCAAAGAGGAAATGTTAATTGAGAAGAGGCTTCCATAAAATAGCCTGTAGGCAAGTTCGTAGAGTATTTTCCTGATTGATTTTTGATATTATAGGGCCCAGACCATTGAAGGTAATGATATCTCTGGACAGGTTGTCCTGGGTGGTATAAAAATATCAAGCTGAGCAAGCCACAGTGAGAGCAAGTTCCTAATCAGCACACATTCATGGCTTGTGCTTGAGCAAATGCCACCAAGTTCCTGCCCTGCTTGATTAAATTTCTGCCCTCACTTCCCTCACTGTTACCTGGAAATATAAGGTATAATAAATGCTTTACTTGCCAAGTTGGCTTTTGTCACAGCATTTCTCATAGCATTAATAATCTCTTTACCATAATCACAAATGTCATTTGGTGGGTTTTGAAGCTATTATTTTTAAAGGATTGATAGAAACTTAAATGAGGTCAAAGGGTAGCTTTGAGGAACCACTGACAATATTGTAGTTGATAGGGATCTCAGGAACAAAGAAACTTTTTAGATCTTTACTGTCAACAAAGTTAATAGTCTTGTATGAGATTTCTAGCAAATGTCTGGAGGAAATTGTAGTGGGATATTTTAACACTAAATTTGCAAAAAAATCTCGGTGATTGGGCAGTATGAAAGGTAGGCAGAGTGAGGAGTTGGGAGGAGAGAAGGAGAGAGGGAGAGCCATGGAGAAACATGGAAGAATCAAAAGCTGACCTGGGTGTCAACTTCCATCAGAAGGTTAGATATTGGGTAACAACTCTAACTGTGTGGGCATCTTGTTAATTGAGCATTTCTAAATATATAAATCCTTGGATAATCATTAAGCTTTAAGAGTCTCATTTATACCGTGTATCACAGGCATTAGCAGGAATGGTCAGGCTCGCATGGTGGATTGGCAGAGCTATCCGCTATGCTGGCGACTTGTGGGTGCCAGGGCCGGTGTTTCTAGATAGCTGGAGCAGTCCAGAGGCAGAGCAGCAGGAAATTGGTGGCTGCCCGGGAACAAGCTGATCCGAGTGCCGTATTCTAAATATCTTCCATTTCAACCAATGAGGCCCGACAAAGGTCTCATACACTTAGGCCTTAAGCCTGGTACTTTTACTGAGATAGGTACACACACACACACACACACACACTTGACAGCAGGTTTCTCTGTAGCCTAGGATAATCTCAAACATGGACTCTTCTCATGTCTATCCCCAAAGCATTGGGATTATAGACATTCAGTACTGTATCCACTTTCCATGGTTAGCACTGAATAGGATTATAGGATTGAAGCTATGGTCTTGTGCATATTTCTAAACACAAGAACAAATATTTAACAGTCTTGGAAATTTCTTTTTCTACTGAAAATTTTAAATCATTTGATTTGTTAGAGACTTAAATCCTGTTATAACAGAGACTTAGAAATTCTACTTCAGTTATAAGAACTTGTGAGTTCTTATTTGAACAGTGTAATGATAAGTGTCTTTTTCTTTTTCTCCTTGTATCTCCTTCTCTCTAGACTACTGGCTTCCTTATGTACATTAATACAGACATATTAAAGCAGAGAAGTACATCATTGCCTTAAATACCTAGCTACCGTGGGTTCCACAAACAGGAAAAGCTAGCAGAACTACTTGGAATGAAGGCAAGTACCCACAAGAATGAAACAGTCATATTCTGAGAAATAGTCCACCTCCTCAGGCAATAAAGATTACCTGGGTCATCTTGTAAAAGCAAAACTGAAAAAGAATTATCGAGGAGGCTCCATCTTAGCTCAACCTGCTTAATTTAACTTGTGTGTGTCTGTGTGTGTGTTTTTGTGTGTATTTGTGTGTGTTGTATGTGTGTTCATGCACGTGAATCACAATTTCAAATTTACTTTTAGACTCTCCATTGGGATAAAAATCTTATTAGGATCTATGTAAACAATGTAAGCTATAAAGCTCAATGAAACATGTATGTTAT